AGAGAGAGAGAGAGAGAGAGAGAGAGAGAGAGTATGGAATACTATGGATGGGAGCGAAAGTGTGCGAGAGAGATGGGGCACTGCTGCACTGGTCTAGTGAAGTAGCTGAAGGGTATAATGGACTTTTACTCTATTTTTCTTTACCTAAAATAGAAATGGACAAATATTGCGGGATGGCCCATAAAGGAAAAGTGGTCAAATACTCAGGGACGGAGGGAGTATATGATTATGATGGTTCTTGAACTTTCATCCCATTATTCCTTCTTATGATGGCTGTGACAGGAAGGGCTTCAGATGTTGAATGTTTCCGTTATGTTTTGTTTCCATGAATTTATTGTATTGAGTATTTTATACAAAAATTCGCATTATAAGTTAAATGCTACAGGCCCCAAGTAGTTGGAATTATGGCATTGACAATGTTGATGATGTCACTTCATTTCTTTCACAGAAATAACTTTTGCATGGATGAACCCTCTTATGCAACTTGGTTATAAGCGACCACTGACAGAAAGGGATGTCTGGAAACTAGATACATGGGACAGGACAGAAACACTTTACGATCAGTAAGTGGTGCCTAGATTTGTTGTGATTATTGATTAATCACCCCCTTCTTTAAACTGCTATTGGTAGAATGGCTTAATTCTGAAGTGGTAACTTGCAACAAAATTGGCATTTGTTTGATTCTTTAGGTTTCAAAAATGTTGGGCTGAAGAATCTCGAAAGCCTCGACCATGGCTTTTGAGAGCATTAAATCGTAGCCTTGGGGGGAGGTAACCATTGAATCAATTATTCCTTAAACTGATTTTAAAAAAGTTTGGACCTATGAACATGGTTTTGTTAGAATATGCTTTCAGATGAAGCAGAGCTCGAATATATCACTAAGATTCCTTCATTTATTTAAAACTTTTCAGGTTTTGGTGGGGAGGGTTCTGGAAGGTAATTGACTAATCTAGTTACTTGTATTTCTTAGATGAATTTACGTATGTGTACGTCTAGGCTTGTGAAACTTAAATGACATGTGATAATGTGTATTTCAAACTATTGAAAATCTCATGACTCCCAATGCCATGTGACTCACAACACATAAATTCGATACTCCGTATTTGTTTTTCAGAACAGCCCCAGTCCGAAGTTCATGGTGTGCTGTGGCATACATCTAGAATTCATGTTTACATGTTGACCACATTGAATTGAAGTGCATTATTCATGGTACACGTGACTAAAGGACTAATGATTATGTGGGAAATTCATGTTTTCATGTTGACCACACATGCATTATATGAGTATCTAGTAGGACTTCAGTGTAATCTTGTGTCTTAATTCAAGAGGATTAATACAGTTAAAATTGTGATTGAGATTTATGCAAAGGAGAGAGGTTCACTTCGAACCATATACTCCCTCAACCCCACCTAAATCTTTCTACTTTCTCTTCTCAGATGTCCCAAAAAAATTCCTAACTTTATTTCCTTTTAAAGAAATAAACATGTGGCTCACAAAAGTTCTCTCTCATCTAAACAAATTTTTACCATGCATTTTCACTGTTCAACACTTTCTTAAACACTGAAAGTCAGACCAAGAAGTTTTCTATTGGACGGAGGGAGTAATACATTTTATAAATAGAAAAATGCACAATAATTTGGGACAGACCAAAAAAGAAAACAGACACAACAAAGATTCATGCAAGAATGATGCATGTATGGATCAGATTGTCAGCCACATTTCTGTAAATGTCGTGCTTTGGTGTTTTTATCTTGAGTTTTTACTCCGTAACTCAGTCTTGATTCTTTATTTGCAGCAGTTTTAAAACATTTTGTGTGTTCTAGATTTTTCACCAGTGCTGTTGTTTTAAAAAGTTATCCGGCACAGACCAATATGATAACATGTTTTGTCTTCTTTACACTTAGGTTTTCAATGATCTCTCCCAGTTTGTTGGGCCACTTGTTCTGAACCAACTTTTACAGGTCAGTGGGTATTACATGGTTGCTTTTTACTATATTACTAGCATATTGCTCTATTTATTATGAACACCGGATCCTCTCTACACCCTCCCCAGACCTTACTTTTTGTGGGATTTTACTGGGTTTGTTGTTGTTGTCGTCTTGAGTGTGAAAAGGAGTCCATTCACATTAACTTCTTATATAGTCACTCCTTCCCACTAAGTTTGGGAAAAAGAAGTTGTGGCATGCAAATAAAATAAAATTGCAGTTAAGAGGTTGGTATTTAATTTGTGAATGGATGATTTGACTGACATACATTTGCCAAATATAGAATGAGGCAACATTTTAGGACATGCCAAAATGAAAATATGGGGCAAACATAGTGTAACAAAGGGAGTATTTTTCTGGTCCATTGTTTAAATCATTTATGGAGTATTTATCTAGTCATATTCTAGTGAAAGAAAAAACTTCATCACTGAAGGAATCAATAAGTAAATTTAGCTCCTCAACTTTATTTGCTCTTGTTTCCTTGAGTAATCTAGAATCACCTAGTTTTTGCATGAAACAGAGACCTTTGTGGTTTACTTGGTGCCTTAAACTTTAATTAGACTCAATGAAAATATTTTGGAGTTAAACACTTGTTTAAATATCTTGGTTCATGGTCCGTTTTCCTCTACATCCTGCAGTCAATGCAACGAGGAGATCCAGCTTGGATAGGCTACATCTATGCAGTTGCAATTTTCCTTGGAGTGGTATGAATTCAGTTTCTCCCCATGTAAAGATCAAATCCATATTATTTTCTCGACTCCTAATAAATTCCATTATATATCCCCTTCACTCTTTCATATATAAAAAAGTAGAGCAGTCAAGATAAAATAAATAAATAAATATATAAGACACCGCTCATAAATTTGTAATGCTCTATATTCACTGCAAATGTGAATCGACATGACTCAAGATTATCTGTATGGTTCATCTGCATCCTGTGATGAAACTGCCTAATGTGTGATATGTAAAGATAAAATATACTTCCTAACTCTTATTTTTTAACCCCTAAATAAGATTCTCAAATGATTTCTTTTTGTTTAAACTATAAATATAATTTAGGTAATTGGTGTTCTGTGTGAAGCTCAATATTTTCAGAATGTCATGCGTGTTGGTTATCGTCTGCGTTCAACTCTGGTAAGTTATTCTGTTGGCAGTATTCACAGTTTATGTTGCACTTTAAGTTGTATAATAGCAGAACCTTTTAAAATCTAAACTTCTTTCGAGATATTTATTCTCTATTCCTTATCACCTCTTCAGCTCTTTCCTATTTCTCAGTTCATGGTCAAATTTTATCAGTTATACAATTTCTCATGTTTTGCTTGGATTTCTGTGTTTAGATGATGTTGACATGTTCAGCTATATTTTTTTTAATTTGGAGATTTTCATCTCCCTCATGTCTACAATTTACCTAGGGTTTTCATTACTTCAGTTTGATCGGTTCTCTTTTGAAAATGTAAGACCAAAACGGAATAACTTAAGTTGGTTTTGGCCGAGTCGTTTTCAGTTGATTTTAGCCAGTTTTGATCGGATTTGGTTGGTTTTAGTTGATTTTGGTCGGCTTGTTCTGTTTCCAAAGCCTAAACAACAAACCCAACTGCTCATGGTTTATCGGTTTTGGTCGGTTTGTGTTTTGACAAAAAAAGAATGTTCCAGACAGTCTGTTTCAGATAGTATTGATACTTCTGTATCCGGTTTTGGAAAATCAAGGGATGGCCCTCAATTTTTTATTGCATCAGTGATGATTAATGACTGATGTTTGGAAGAAGCATATTATAGTTGGTATCTCCACGACCATATGAATGGATTTGCAAATTGCTTGTTGTTTTTCCATGTCTAATTTTTAACTGCACAGCCATATGTTCTGCATTGTTTTTATGCTTTTGGAGCTGTGATGTTTTCTAGGTTGCTGCAGTTTTTCGTAAGTCCCTGAGGCTAACCCATGAGAGTCGAAAAAAATTTGCAACTGGAAAGATAACCAACTTAATGACAACTGATGCTGAATCTCTTCAGGCATGTGCTTTTCATTAGAAATATACTAGCCTTCTTCAAGTTTGTATCATGCTGCAATGTTAAGCCTATTGGAATTCTCTAATTGGTTGTAATTTTACATACAATCTGTATTGGCTATTTTAACAATACACTGTTAAATTATGGATGTTTATTTTGAGTAAATGGTAAATATTAACATTAGTAACCGAAGTGCGAATATACATAGTAGGACGGGCATACCCGAACAAATCAAAGGCACACAGAAGCCAAAGTAAACTGTGGATATTTACTGATACACCTGTACTTCCATCCCCTAAACACACACACACACACACACACACACAAGATAGTACTTTCAGCATGCTGCTTGGTGACTTATTTTGCTACCTTTTATCTTATCCAGCAAGTATGCCAATCTCTCCACACTTTATGGTCAGCTCCTTTTCGGATAGTTACTTCCTTGGTGCTTCTATATGCACAATTGGGGGTCGCTTCCCTGCTTGGAGCTCTCATGCTTGCTCTCATGTTCCCCATTCAGGTTTAAACTACTTAATTTAGTATTTTTTTTGCTTTAAATTGCTTAAATGGATAGATATTTTTCTATTGTTATTCATACTGGTCATAGTGCATGCAGTTTTGCTTGTGTTCTTTCCCCTGTATGTACTGAATCTACGCTTTCTGAGGTCACACAAACTTTTTCTTTCAGTTCATAGAAGTAATCGACAACTAGAATTTTGTTGCTGCAATTTAGCTGCTCTCATATGCATCTTGAAATTTCTTATGTATTGTACAATGTTTTTTTCCTTATGAACCCTGTGCAAGATTGCTTGTAAGCTCAGTCAGCCACCAATAATGTCATTTCACTAGTCAGTAGTCACATAAGTCTTATTCTAGTTTCCTTGAAGAATAGAAAAATAGTTGGTAGAAGAGGCAAATTTTAACATAGCATGAAATAATAAAAATTATACTTGTGTTTTCAAGCTATCTATATCAGGAATATGTTGTACCTTGTAAGATATTTACACATGAACTAGTAGCATCTATGAGATTATGAGATTACTTCTCCATTTTAGTACACCCATGAGGGTACTGAAATGGTGATGGGCACTCATCTCACCTCTATCATATGTGTGTAAACTAGAGGCCAGAGACAGGTCTCTACATTATATTATTGTAGGTGCACCTCAATAAGAGTATAAGACTAAATAACTCATATTTTTTCAATATTAATGGGTTTATAATTATAGATATCATTTGATCTTGTTTGTTGTGCTAATGAAAAAACTTTTAATTTAACCCGTGCAAGCAGACTTTGGTCATAAGTAAGATGCAGAAAATGACTCAAGAAGGACTACAACGGACAGATAAGAGAATTGGGCTCATGAATGAAATACTTGCTGCAATGGATACGGTCAAGTACGTTTGCTTATTGAAGCATGCATTTTAACTTGCTTGACTACAATAGCTTTTGCATTTGATTAAGTTGACATTTAATACAATATTACGCTTCAGATGCTATGCATGGGAGGATAGTTTCCGATCAAAGGTTCAGGGAGTTCGGGATGAGGAACTGCATTGGTTTCGTCAGGCACAGATGCTAGGAGCAGTATGTTTTGAACCCCCACTCTCTTTTTCAATTCTGCCTTCAGTTTTAGGCTGTATGGGGACATTTAATTTATAATGATATCAGGAGTAGTGTAACAGAGACATTCTTGGCTTGAAAAATAGAGTGACAGAACTAAAATATACAAGTTAATTTGGGAAATTTATTTAAGCTCCACTACTTGATTTATATACTCTGTTAGGAATTGCTACCTTGAGGTGTCAATTATCATTCCCTTCACCTACTGTAGTTGTAATAGTCATTGAATATGGGGCTAACAATATATGGTACTCTTAGAGTGTGGCTTGATATAGAGAGAAATAAAATCCCTTTCACCTTGCCTATGAGCTTTCTTCTTTCACACACCTGATTTTAAGTTTCTTAAATTTTTTTTTGCAGTTGAACATGTTCACTTTAAACAGTATTCCAGTTCTTGTGATCGTGTTATCATTCGGGATGTTTACTTTACTTGGAGGGGATCTAACACCGGCAAGGGCATTTACATCTCTCTCCTTGTTTGCAGTGCTGCGATTTCCGTTGTTCATGCTGCCTAATGTTATAACACAGGTTACCTTTTAAAAAATCATGAATGGTTTATTTTGTTGTAAATTTCTACTTGTTAAAACTCAAGACATCCTCACTCTGCTTTCCATCTATTTTAATTTAGGCACCATAGAATCTAATACTAATGAATGCAAATTTTAAGAAATATCAAAATGCTTCATACCTACATCGTTGTTTCCATATTCATAAGTTGGAAGTTTGAAGCTTTAAAAATACCAGGGTAGCCATGAGAAGAGTTGAACTGAAAAAGTAGGGAGAGAAGTGTAATTTAGTATCTTTTTTCCTCGAAATTATATATAATATCTCTTCCCTGCCAATTAGATTTTGTATTCATTTTCATTTTTCCTCACAATTAGATTTTAATTCTTATTCATATTCCTTCAGGTGTTGCTTTCCTTTAGCAATTAAGCATGAGCATTTTCATGGAAAACTTACACTTCAAAGCTATGAATTTCTAAGCATTGATGAAAATATGAGATGACATGAGCTTATGCACAATTCTTTATAGGGAGTCTCTCTACTAGTTTACCTACTTTTGATCATTCGTGAACATAGTTCTTAAGCATTCTGTTCTCAAGTATGCATTATTGAACTCTTTTGTTATACAATTCTTTTAGGTTGAATTTTTTCAGTGTCTTTTACAATCTTAAGGTAAACTTAAATGTCTGGGATAATGTTTTGATCATCTGTTTACTTTTCAAAGAATAAAATATAAATTATGTTCATTTTTTTGGGTCTTCCCCCTTTACCTCTGTTTGTGTGCATCATCAAAATTGTTTAATATTTAATGCATATAGAATGACATGTTCTACTTTGACTAAAAGTTTAAATCAGTTTATTGTTGAACATGTTTAACCTGCTCCTCCGCCCTTGCAGGTTGGACTAAATGCATTTGAGCCAACTACGCCTAAGTATTTAGATGACATGTTTTGCACATGATTTGAACGCTAGATCATTAGTAAGAAGCTATTTTCTGGTTTCTGCAGGTAGTTAATGCAAATGTATCCTTGAAACGCTTGGAGGAGCTTCTCTTGGCTGAAGATAGAGTTTTGCTCCCCAACCCACCAATTGAGCCCGGACTTCCAGCCATCTCTATCAAGAACGGTAGTTTTTCATGGGAATCAATGGTAAGGTTCATTTTTCCCCAAGCAGATATGTGCTGATAATACACCCTCCATCTTGGAATTAAGTTCCCGGTTTGACATTCTCGGAGTATAAAAAATTTAAAAAGTAAAAATAAAGTACTGTTGAATTTTATGCACAAAAGAGAGAAATCGGAAAGGACCACAAAATTATTCCCTTTAAAGGAAATGAAAATTTTATTTTGGCATGTTAAAAAAGGAAATATTGGAACTACATGCCAATAGGGAGTTTCATATATATATATATATATATATATATATATATATATATATATATATATATATATATTCAATTATATAAAACATGTTGGCAATTTAATAAATTTGGAAATCTATTTTATCATTTAATGTTGGCAGATATATGTAACCTCATGAAACACAATTTTGTTTTTAGATGGCCACACATTGTGTAGAGCATCAAATGTAGGCTAATTAGGCTTTTTGAGATTGTAGAGCAAAAATGTTCTTAATTTTTCCATATTGCATATTTTATTAGAGGTATTATATTGTAGCCTTACAATAATATCATAGTGTCGCTCTATGCATTGTTTCTGCATTCTTTCATTTCTAGGAAAAAATATGGGCATTTGGTGGTTCATTTATATTATAAAGTGTTAAGGTTCTACATTTTGATGAACTCTTAAATGTTGTCAATTTGATGGTGAGTTAATGATGAAGGATTTTTTTTAAAGATCTTATTTGCATTCAAATTCCAGGCGGAGAAACCAACGTTATCCAATATAAATTTGGACATTCCAATTGGTAGCTTAGTGGCAGTTGTTGGGGGCACTGGAGAGGGAAAGACGTCCCTCATCTCAGCAATGCTTGGGGAGCTTCCTGTGGTTTCAGATGCAAGCGTCCTCATCAGAGGAACAGTTGCTTACGTACCACAAATGTCTTGGATTTTTAACGCAACAGTACGTCATTATGTGTATTGTTTCCTAGCTTCATTTCCTGTCCCAAAGGACACTGATTTGTGTTAATGCATTTCAATAACATGATACATTGATAATTGTGATAGTTATAAATGTGTGCTGTTTATTATATACGGAGTATAAATATAGAGAGCAATGTTGATAATAGACATCATCAATTTATTTAGCCCAATGAGATGATTAGTATGGTTTACAGGTGCGTGAAAACATACTTTTTGGCTCCCGATTTGAACCTTCAAGATATGGAAGGGCAATCAATGTGACTGCATTACAACATGACCTTGAATTGCTTTCTGTAAGTACTTCTACACATAATTTTTGCAATGCTCGGGTTTGACTTCTTTGTTCAAATTTTTAGCGCATGTTATAGCTTGATTGGAGTATTCTTTCAACCATACCAACACTTGTTCTAGGGCGGTGATCTTACTGAAATTGGGGAAAGGGGAGTCAACATCAGTGGAGGGCAGAAGCAAAGAGTATCCATGGCTAGAGCTGTTTATTCTAATTCTGATGTTTACATATTTGATGATCCTTTAAGTGCACTCGATGCTGATGTGGGCCGTCAGGTAACATGTTGTAATAAATTTAATTACTTCATTTTGATGGTCTAGTCCAAGTAATGTTTCAAGTAATTCACTTATTCACTTCCAATCTAATACTCCCTCCGTCCCATATCTTTCTTCTCACTTTCCTTTTCGGGCCGTCCCACTTGATTCTTCCCATTTCTTTATTTGGCAAATAAAATGTATCAAAAAGACTAATTTACCCTTCCATCAATTCATCCCTTTTCTTTGATACCAACCCCTCCCACTACCCACCTACTCCCTTTCTCTTTTCTTCTTTACCCCCTCCCCATGGTCCATGGACCTTGATTCTTCTTCCCGTCACCCCCCTTCTTTCTTCCTTCCTTTCTTTCTCTTATTCTTTTTTCTTCTTCTTTTTTCTCTTCTTCTTCAATTTTCACTCCTGTTCGTCAGCCCCTACATATCCCCCACCTCCGTTTCTTCTTCTCCTTTGTCAGACGCCTCCCCCGTAGTTTCTTCTTCTTAATTCTTCTGAGTTGTTTGGGAAGAAATCATTTCTAATTAGTTAATTCCATAGTTAAATGGCCAAATCGCAAGAACTTTTGGTAGATGCTTCAATATTTGTATAAGAAATGATTCTATTGCACAGATTGTTTGGTAGATCTACCAATTTATACAGATCTATCAATTTACCAATTTACGGAATTGGTAATTTCGTTCAATAAAATTCTTACAATTTTGTTCAATAAAATGGCAAAATTAATTGGCCAAACGAAGAGGATGTGTGGCGATTGTGGTTTAGAAAACAAAGAGGATGTGCGGCGATGAAAGCAAACTTCAAAAAGAGATAGATGTTCCTGCGAAACTAGCACAGGTGTTGGAGTGGTGTGAGATAGAGAGAAGAGGGGATGGGTCTAATGGAAGACGAAGAATACGGACTGAGAGAGAAGAGTAAATAATTGAGGGGCAAATTTGGAAAGTCAAAGCATTTTTTACTTTACATTAAAAATCGTGCCATGTCAAAACGAGAAGTTTCAACTTCGACGGAGGGAGTATTAATGAGCTCACTTTCTAAAAGACTAGTGTCACCACTATTGCTTGCTCTTTAGTTTAGTATTGTGTTGATCTTGAAGTGAGTCATTCCAAAAAAACACTATGTTTGGTTCAAGGAATTTGGAAGCAAAAGAAATGGAGCCAAAAATTCACTATTTTTGTGCTTTTGTGCCTCTTTAAGTAATAAAGTAGCAGTTAGTCAATCACTGCAACTTACGACGTTGAGCCAGGGGTCTCTTTGGAAACAACCTCTCTACTTTCGAGTAAGGGTAAGGTCTGCGTACACACACCCTCCCCAGATTCAACTGGGTTGGGTTGTTGTTGTTTCTCACCAGAAAGGGAGGAATTTGGTTTTTCCCTCTCTTAGTACATTTTGCCTTCTCATTTTCTTTTCCTTTTACTTTTTTTTTTCTTCTTCCTCTCTAACCAAACAAGAAAGTTTGTTTTCCCTCTCATTTTATTTTACTTTCCCTTTTAAATACCTTGAACCAAATCTAGTTGTAAACCAAAATCTCTAATTTGAAGGTTTAAAGACATTCCTTGTTATATTACTACGGCTTCTGAATTCACAATGTGATTAGAAGCGTGATCTTAAAAAGTGTTGATTGTTGAATATTAAGATACTCCCTCCATCCTATATCTTCCCACTTTCCTTTTTTGAATTGTTCTCTGTCTTTCTTCCCTTTCCATGGATGGCTATTAAATTAAAAAGATTAGTATGACCTTTTAACTCTCTCATTCACCCACTCCACCACCCCATTTACTACCCCTAAATTACGTCTACCCTACCCCACCAAAATTACATCTACGAACCCAACATCTCACACATTGCCGGCCCAAAACTGCTTCTGGCATCCTTCTGTACAACAGGTTGGAGGTAGAGCTGGAGATTCACCGACAAATTTGAGGTTATAGCTATAAACAAGCTCTTCAGCAGTGTGATGGCTTTGAAAACGTCTGTATTCTGCTTCTAGAACCACTTCTGCATCACCAAAGACTCCATGAGACTTCTGCTGCACACAATAAAGGAGGACGAGATGGCGATCTATCAGAGACAGAGAGAGTAAATGTGAGAGTAAGAGTAGGTGTGTAGGTTTGTGGTTCTACACCACCAAGGGCAAAAATGGATAGTCAAAGCGTTTCTCGTCTTACATTAAAAATCATGTCTAATCAATACGGGAATAGACATTAGACAGAGAGAGGTTTGTTAATTAGGTGATACAAGTTTAATAAGCTGCGTTGGACTAATGGAGATGGATGAAGATGGCTGAGCTGGAAGGGGTAACTACTTCTCCCCCGCCCCAAATTAAGTTGCATGTTTACCATAGTTTGTAAGGCGGCAAGGGGAGGCAAGGCGCCAATGTACCTTCATATCGCCTAGGCGACTAAGCGCACGCCTAGGTGACGACTAGGCGACATACATACATACATACATACATACATACATACATACATACATACATACATACATACATACATACATACATACATACATACATACATACATACATACATACATACATACATACATACATACATACATACATACATACATACATACATACATACATACATACATACATACATACATACATACATACATACATACATAC